TTGTTCAGATTCTTACTTGTCCAAAAACAAAGATGCAAAACACAACAGATGCAGGGCAGTTATATATTATTTGAAATGTCATGACATATCTGACACAATACTTGAAAAATTATCAAACATACATATATAAGCTCTATATTCCATATTTGAAGCATTTATCTGCAAAGCATTGACACTTCAGAAACAAAGTTCTGTCATACCTTAAACATGGATAACACTTACATTAGACATAAGACCACACCCCATGTGTCACAGATTGTGCTTTTGCGTTAGTTTAGAACAAAATATGTTTGAGGTTAAAGCACAATTTGAAGTATGATTTATGTCAAACACTGTCTCATTGGTGAAGGATTATCACCATTTTACATGCAGGTGATGAATTTGCTAGTGGGATAATCAGTCTGGATGAGTTTCAAGTGGCGCAGATTTCAACATTCAACAGAGTATGGACATCCTATGAAGGTGGTCCAGATAATCTTGGGGCTACAATCTTTGAACCAACAGGACTGCCAGAAGGATTTACTATGTTAGGTTGCTATAGCCAACCTAACAACAAGCCCCTTTTTGGATGGGTTCTTGTGGCAAAAGCTAACTCTTCACCTAGCAATCCAGCTCTAAAAGAACCACTTGACTACACTCTGATATGGAGCACCAAGTCTCTCCAAATTAATCAAAATAGTTCTGCCTATTTTTGGCAACCAAACCCTCCTGATGGTTATAAAGCAGTAGGCCATGTTGTGACAACAACACCGGACAAGCCTTCGCTCAATAAAATCCGGTGTGTCCGGGCAGACCTTACTGATCAGATGGAGACATATGCATGGATTTGGGGACCAGGAACATCCAATGACCCAAATGGGTTCAATCTCTATGAAACAAGACCAAGCAACAGAGGGACTAAAGCTCCAGGACTTCTTGTCGGCACATTTCTAGCTCAAAATGGTGGGAATACCAGTGCTATAGCTATATCCTGTTTGAAAAACACCAATGTTAACCTAACCTCTATGCCTAATCTACAACAAATTCAAGCAATAGTCCAAGCTTACTCGCCAGTAATGTACTTGCATCCTGATGAAGAATACCTTCCTTCCTCTGTAAACTGGTTTTTCGCCAATGGAGGATTACTCTATAAAAAAGGAGATGAATCAAATCCTACCCCAATACAACCAAATGGAACTAATCTTCCTCAGGATCCTAATAATGATGGTTCCTATTGGCTGGATCTTCCAGCAGACGAAGACAACAAGGAAAGAGTCAAAAGGGTTATTTACAAAGCTCAAAAGCTTATCTGCACATAAAACCCATGTTTGGTGGAACATTCACAGACATATCCTGCTGGGTATACTACCCATTCAATGGACCAGCAAGAGTACAACTAGAATTCATCACTATTTCATTGGGGACAATCGGTGAACACGTGGGGGACTGGGAACATGTGACACTAAGAGTTAGCAACTTCAACGGAGAACTTAAAAGTCTTTATTTCTCAGAACACAGTGGAGGCACCTGGGTCGATTCCTTCGATCTGGAATTCAAGAACCGAAACAAACCTGTTGCTTATTCTTCGCTTCACGGCCATGCGTTTTACCCCAAAGCAGGGACTAATCTTCAAGGGACCGATGGAGTTGGACTTAGGAACGATACTGCAGAGAGTAATATGGTGGTGGATATGGGGGCAGGGTATGAAGTGATTTCTGCGGAGTATCTGGGGTCGGTGATTGTGGAGCCGCCATGGCTGAACTATTTCAGAGAATGGGGTCCGAAGATAAGTTATGATGTTGCAGAAGAGCTGAAGAAGTTAGAGAAATGGTTGCCTGGGAAGTTGAAGAAGCTTTTGGAGAAGATTGTGAACAGTTTGCCGAGTGAACTGTTTGGTGAGGAGGGGCCCACTGGTCCAAAGGTGAAGTATAACTGGAATGGAGATGAAGCTGTCAGTTGATCCAAGACTTGAAATGTATTTTTTGCTTTTATATATATATATATATATATATATCAGTATTTTATTGCTACTCCTGATGTCTTTTTTAGAAGGCCTTTGTTAAATATTTTGGGAGAATTTTATGGACTACAGTAGTTAGTTATTTACTAATCAAACACATTGAAATTTGAAAAAACAATGCAAGATTTTGGAGTTTTTTTTTGTGGGGTTTTTCTCTCTTCGTCAGTAGGAGTTATTTTACATGATATTTGTGCTGTCTGACCCTCACTTACGAGATTTAAACTCAATAACTATATTTAATACAAATATTAAATATTTATATCATTTAAATCGTTAAAATTCAAATCAACAATTATTAATTTATATTTTATTTAAAATTAATTAATGAATGAGTTTATCTGAACCGTTAATTTATATTTTAACGGCTTAGATGATAAAGCACTCAGTGTCTATATTAAATACAGCCATTAAATTTAAATACTTATTTGCTTGCTTCTATCATGAGAGGGGCATTCAATGTGGGTGATAATTTATTTGATAATTAATATTGAGTTTTGTGACTTCTTCTCTTAGGTTAAGAGGTATAAGAATTTTTCAATATGAACCTTGATGGTTTGGGATAGTTAGTGGGCATCTTATTTTAGACTTTTCAATTTAATATGCGTTAGTTTGCAGCAAAGATAAAGATAAAGATACTTTTTGTTAAGGCCACAACATTATTTGTGCATCATCTAACATGCATTAAATCAATTTAGCATGACTTGTTAACATTAAGAAATTAAGTCTTCTATGAGCTTCTAATGTGTTTTCAAAGTTTTTGGGTCTAACTTAAAAATAACTAGTTGCTGTGGTTCAAAAATAAAATGCTCCCAAATAGATTTTTAAAATTAAGAAATCACTTAAGGCTTGCTAATATTAAAATTTTTTACAACTTTTGACAATTAGTTAAAGCCATTACAAAGTTACAAGACACTTTTTGGAGATTACTTATAAATTAGATTTTACTACTCTTAGTGATTAGTGATGCACTGAGACATTTAAAATTATTAAAAATTAAATATTAAAAAATATTATCTTAATTATATTATATCAACTAATTCTATTTACAAGATGTGAAATGAAATTGTATAAGCAATTACAAATTACAAGTAAATAATTATAACAACAAAATATAAATAATTATATTTCAAAATTTTTAAGTAAAAAATATACATTAATTAAATTATATTAATAATGAAAGATGATTAAGAAAGATATAAAAAGCTTAATATCTTTGTTACTAAAGAAGCACCATAAGAAGAAGTGTTAAATTATATTAATGTTGATGATAATGTTAATGATGATGTTGTTGATGCTGTTGCAAATGTTTTAAGTTTTTTATTTTTCCTGGATTTTTATCTTGTATGCAATAATTTTTTTTTCTGAATTATAAAAAAAGAGATTGATTTTATGATACTAACTTTTGTTTTGCAAATGACATATATGTGTGTGTATGAAATGTTTAGAAAATATACGTAATAAAAAACTTAAATAAAATAAATTTGATATGTTCTGACCAAAAAAAATAAAACAAATTTGAGATGCTGAATAATAAAAATAAATAATAATATAAATAATTTTAAATATATTCAAATAAAAAAAATTAAATGACGAATTGTTCAATTGTAATGCACATTTTAATTTCCATATCATGTACATTATTTACCTCTCTTGAGTCTACATTTGAAATCGATGATGAAGATGGTAATTAGTATTATTTATCATCATGATTAACCAAGTTACGTAAAACTTGATTTTAAAAAAAATAAAAATAATATTTGGTATATTGACTAAAAAATAATATTTCCTCCCTTTAAAAATGTAAAATATTTTTAAAAAATTAAATGTTTAAAAATATAATATATTTTTAATTTTTTAAAGTATAATTATTATTGTTTTTCAAAAATATCCTTATCGTATAAATTACTTTATATTTATTTTAAAGTAAAATACCTTATTAAATAAGAGTAAACATGAAAAGATAGAATTAATTTAAAAAGAAGTAATTATTTTATTAAAATAAAATTTAATTAAAAATACTTTATATTTTTGAACGAAAGAAATATGAATATTTCTATGTATGTATAATGTTAAATACTATATAACCCAACACAATCTGAATATACAAACATCACATAAAATCAAGATAATTATTAACATTTTGTTTTAAACATAATTACTAAAGGAAAAGAACATTTATAGCTTATAATTCAACATTAAAAAATTCAGATATATTATTTTAAAATTAATTATCAATTATTCATAAAACATTTTATAGTTTTTTTATTTTTAATTATAATTATAATTTAAAAAGGAGGTAAAAACTTGGAAGTTCTCTTTTTTCATCGTCACTTTTCCATCCCTCATTCTCTCCTAAAATATCTCAACAAATTATCTTCATTTTCTTTCTCTTCACCCTTGCCATTGAAGAAGACGAAGACCGCGAAGCACCCATAACCACCCATAACGAAGATGATTTTTGCAGATTGAAGATTCCTGTGATGGAGATGATTTCTCCAGAGAAGAAGATTATGAAAACGAACTTGTGGCCTTCGATTAGCCACCTCCAACAAGACCTTGCGATCAGATTCAGCAGCGAATTATGGGAAGAGGAGAGAGTTGTTTTTGACAGAAGAGAAGAGGATAGCATGGGAAGAAGGATTGTCCCGTGGGTAACGAACACTTCTCTGAAGCCGAAAACAACTTAAAGTGCCTCTATTGTTTACGGGTATTTTTTATTGGAAACAATCTTGTCCTAGTCTTCAAATTCATGTTTGAAGGGTACAACTGTTCCAAAAACTAAACCCAAACTCAACCAAATAAAAAGATAATAAACCAAACAACTCTGGGAGAAAGTGCATTTTCAGAAAGTCCTTTTTAGATCTCAAAAGTCCTTTCCAAAGTCATACATTCGAATCAGCGACAATTCAAGGTTAATAAGATTTAATAAGCACACATATACAATAGAGACAACAAGGCATCCTTGCACAACGCATCATTGGGCTGTCTTTTTTGTTTCCACTCAAAAACTTTCTATGGTCACATGCATGTACCATCAAGTGAATATGCTCCTTGCAAAATCCGCCGTTATTGTATAAGAACATTACTCACCTTACCATGTGGATTCAATTTCCTTCTGATAAAAACAGACATGAGGAATTGTCTTGCTCTGCCCTGTGGAAAGGGTATCTCCAGGAAGGATCAAAGCCGTCCCATTGATAACACATTCAAGCTTCCTGCTCCAACACCAGTCTGGCCACCAGGTAATTAATAATCATATATTCATACAGTTGTTTCTCCTCCTTTTTTGCTGTTCGACTTCAGAAACAGGGTTATATCATATCTTAAACATGTATAACACCCCATCTCTCATAGATTGTGCTCTTGTTTAGGATAAAAATTACATATGCGAGTTTTAAGTCCAATTCAAAGCATGTGTTGTGTCAAATATTGTCTCATTGAGGAAGGATTGTTACCATGTTACATGTAGGTGATGGGTTTGCCAGTGGGATTATCAATCTTGGTGAGCTGCAAGTGGCACAGATTTCAACATTCAACCAAGTTTGGACATCCTATGAAGGTGGTCCAGATAATCTTGGGGCCACAATCTTTGAACCCACAGGGCTACCAGAAGGATTCTCTATGTTGGGTTATTATAGCCATCCTAACAACAAGCCCCTTTCGGGATGGGTTCTTGTAGCACAAGCCAACTCTTCAACTTCAACCAGTAACCCAGCTCTAAAAGAACCACTTGACTACAATCTGATATGGAGCACCAAGTCTCTGCAAATTGATCAAAATAGCTCAGCCTATTTTTGGCTACCAAACCCTCCTGATGGCTATAAAGCAGTAGGCCATGTTGTGACCACAATACCGGACAAGCCATCACTCGACAAAATCCGGTGTGTCCGGTCAGACCTCACTGACCAGATTGAGACACATACATGGATTTGGGGGCCAAGAAAATCGAATGACTCCAATGAGTTCAATCTCTATGAAACAAGACCAAGCAATAGAGGAACTCAAGCTCAAGGCATTCTTGTAGGCACATTTCTAGCTCAAAATGGTGGAAATACGAGTGCTTTGGCTATATCCTGCTTCAAAAACACTAACATTAACTTAACCTCTATGCCTAATCTACAACAAATTCAAGCAATAGTCCACGCTTACTCTCCAATCATGTACTTGCATCCCAAAGAGCAATACCTCCCTTCCTCTGTAAACTGGTTTTTCACCAATGGAGGATTACTCTATAAAAAAGGAGACGAGTCACAACCTGCCCCAATACAACCAAATGGCACTAATCTTCCTCAGGATCCTAATAATGATGGTTCCTCTTGGTTAGATCTTCCAGCAGACAGAGACAATAAGGAAAGGGTTAAAAGGGGTGATTTACAAAGCTCACGAGTGTATCTCCACATAAAACCCATGTTTGGTGGAACATTCACAGACATAGCATGCTGGGTATACTACCCATTCAATGGACCAGCAAGAGCAAAAGTAGAGTTCATCCCTATTTCACTGGGGAAAATCGGCCAACACGTAGGGGACTGGGAACACGTGACGCTAAGAGTAAGCAATTTCAATGGAGAACTCAAGAAGGTATATTTCTCACAACACAGTGGTGGTACCTGGGTCGATTCCTTCGATCTTGAATTCAAGAACGGAAACAAACCCGTCGTATATTCTTCGCTTCATGGCCATGCGTTTTACCCTAAACCAGGGCTCAATCCTCAAGGAACCAATAGCGTCGGACTCAGAAACGATACTGCGGAGAGTAATATGGTGGTGGATATGGGGACGGGGTATGAAGTAGTTTCTGCGGAGTATTTGGGGTTGGAGATTGTGGAACCGCCATGGCTGAACTATTACCGAGAATGGGGTCCGAAGATAAGGTATGATATTGCAGAAAAGTTGGAGAAGATGGAGAAATATTTGCCCATGAAGTTGAAGAAGCTTTTGGAGAAATTGGTCAGAAGTTTGCCAAATGAACTGCTAGGAGAAGAAGGGCCCACTGGTCCGAAAGTGAAGAGCAACTGGAATGGAGATGAAGTTGTTCGTTGATGTGAAGATCAGTATAGCTCACTGTTGTTTCATACGAATAGCTGGATTTGACTTTTTCTTTTCTATTTATTTTTTGGGGGAGAATGACAAGTGAAATCCATAAAAATATTAATATCAAATTAAATTTTTTTTTACATTCACGTTCTTAAATTTAATACTCTTTTTTATTTTTAATATTAAAATTTTTAATTTAACATTAACATTTTTATAAGATTCTTATTCATCATTCTTTTTTTTTTTTAACAAGTTGAATTGAATGCAAATGCTATTAGTGATTGTGCCGAGCCAAAACTAATTTTGGGTTAAAAAATAGGAAATGGGGGAATTGATTTTTCTCATTATTTAACAGAAAATCAGAAACTAAAATTAAAACTCATATATATGGTGGAGTTGAGAATTACCGAAAAAACAAACAAAAAAATCATAGTATTTCTTGAAAAATACTAATATATTAATTAACCCGGTAAAATTAGATGCTACGAAAGAGTTCAAAACCTACGTCCTAGGGTCTAGAATGGGAAATTTTCACCACTACACCTAATTTAATTTAAGTTAAAGCCTTACAAATTTTGAAATTTCACTACAAATAGAAATGAGGTTAAAAAACTGATTAAAATAATTTTATTATCTTAATAAAATTTGGTATAGGAACTATTCATATAAAAAAAATTAATAATTGATATATAAAAATTAAAAAAATTAATATAGGTGAAATTCATAATTTTTATTAACAGCATAATATTACTATGAATTTACAACTCTTATTTCACTTGTATTGATTATTTATTTTTTATATATTAATTATTTATTTTTCTTACATGAGTTGTCCATGCGTTTATCTTCATTTATTTATATTTATAGTGTTATTATACTATTAATGAAAATTGTCAATTTCACTAACGTTCGTTGTTTATATTTCATACATCAATTATCAATTTTCCTACATGAATATTTTATGTGCTTAGATTTATAAGGGACAATAAAATTATTTCAATTAAATTTTTAATTTTATTTCAATCCCCATGTACAGTAAAATTTTAAAATTTTAAGAGCTTTAACTAAAATTAAATCTAGTTAAGCAACGCTCACAGAAAGTTTCCCGTCAATAATTGTTTCATTTGGATGCAAGTTGCAATGTGCTTTATAGTGTCCGTTTGAATTTCAATTGAATATAATAAATTATAAAAATAATTGATTAAGTAGTAAATTTTAATCATAATTGATTGTGTTATAATATAATTTATTTGGATACTATTTTTTAAAAATTAATTTTAACAAAATTAAAGATGTTTGGATAATTTAATCAGAATTAATTTTATCTATATAAATTACTATATAATTTAATTCTTAAATATCAAACATCAATTTTTTAAGGATACAAAATTTAAATTTTATTACGAAAAAAAGTTAAGAGAAGAGAATTTGATTTTATTTTTCTTTAATGTTGTGTTTTTTTAATAATTTTTTCTTGGATCTTTTTTATAATTTTTCCCAACACTTTTGATCAATTTTTGGCAAAATGTTGATGGTAGGAGCTTACGAAAAAACATGCCTCTTGCCTCATAATCAATTTTTGACCCTTTTAACTTATTGAGTAAATTAGCTAAAAAAATTAATTTTGAGATAAAAAATTGATTATTTCCTTTATCCAAACACACTGTTTTTGAAACACAACTATTGACTCTTCGTAGGAAGAAAGGTGGGGTCAGGTATCATGTTTTTCGAAGAATTACTTTAAAATCCCCACAACATATTTTCATATTACAAGATCCAATAATAATTAAACAAAGAAGAAGAAGAGGTGGAGCTCATCACAGTAATATAAATTATTTAAATTTTTAATTTAAATAGTTTAAATTTATAATTTTTATTTTTTTATTTAATATTTATTGAAATAAAAATTGTAAAATTTTAGTAAATCAACCTTATTAACCATTTGGATAATATAGATTCAATTTGAACAATCCAATTCTTATTTTGATGAAATAAAATGTAATGGCTATCCAATTTTTTAAAATTTGTTGTCCATATATACATGGAACGGTTTAAATTTAACATTAAATTTTTTAGAATTTTTATTTTAGTAATAATAGTATTAAAATAAAAATAATCTCCAAAGTAACACTTAAAAAAATATATTAGAAAAAAAGTTGTGAGTTAAAAATTTTAAAATTGGATTGTCCAAAATAGTTCTGAATTTTTTAATATTGAATTGAGCCATAAGATTAATTCTATATTGTTTAAATTGATAAGAAAATAAGTTTATTAGATAATTTTTTTATAATTTTTATTTTAATAATTATAAAATAAACAATAAAATAAAACTTGTTAATATCAACCGTTCAAATTATCTTGACAATTTAAATTGCTCATTATGATGAACACGGAAACCGGACGCCACTTCGGCCCAAGTTATCAGATAATTTTACATAAAACTAAACCTACGCATATCATCTTCCTTCTGGTTGCCCTACTTTTTCTTCGTACGTCACCAAATTCATATCGCCTACTGATTTCCCTCGAAGCAGAATTCTTCCTATATATATCGTACATCATCATCACAACAGTACTCTTCGGTTATATTCTCGTAATTCCATGTCATATACTCATATGCATGCAGAATATTCTGACTTGTCTGACATGACAAACTTCCGTTATTAGTTTAATTAGTTAATAGTGTCAAACACAAGGTTTAAGGGATTAGCTTTAAGCTTCGGGAAGTACTGCAAGTCTTAAAAGCATTCATGTATATTGGAGTCAATACTGGCCTAATTATGTTAGAAACCAACGGTACTAATCTTATAGAGTATTAATTAATTTACATTTCATTCAAGTATCTCTTAGTTCTCAATGTTTTCAAGAAAAGATAATTGAGATTGTCACACAGGCATAAGAAAATGAGAGAGAAGAATATACTAAACAGAATCATCAATGAGTCATATTAGAAAGCAATATATAAACATGCATGCACGCAAGCACATTTGTACACACACACATATACTTGACGAAACAAATAAAGGGAAGGATGTGAAGGAGCTCTGATCTCTCTCTCTCTCTCTCTCTCTCTCTCTCTCTCTCTCTCTCTCTCTGAGACACTGAGACACACAAAAGGGGAGATTTCTGAGTTTTGTCGATAATACCATGTGGAGGGAGAGAGAAAGTAGGATTTGGAGAACAAGGACGAAGAAAATGATGAGTATGATGGTTTTAGGCTTTGTGTGTTCTGTGTTTCTATGGGGAGATCATGCGGCGGCGGGGCTACTGGCCGGAGCTGCAGCTGGGAGGTTCAAGGCATTTTCAGGTGAGAATCAGAATCATCAGTAGACTCTGCTATGTATGCTTCGTCATTTACCTGCCTTGTTTTTGTTTGCGAATTTCTTTTATGAAAACTTCTTATGTATGTATGTTGTTGCTTTGTTTGAATTCTGGCTCCAAAGATTCAAGCTCGTCCTATACAGCTAGCAACCTCTATCTTCTTGTGTCTGTTTGAGATTTCTAGGTAGGCAACATGAGGGTTAACAGAGAAAAGATCAGAGAACACGCAAAACAAATTGTGAAATGATATTTCAAAGTATTTATTTTGAAAAACACTTCACTAAAGTTTTTAATAAAAATTTTGGCCCAAAAAAACCCTTTTATCTAATAATATTTTCCCCCAATAGAACAATATCATATTGTTGATTTTTAGAAATAAAATTTTACGCAATAATTTACATAATAAATAATTATTTAAAATCTTTTATGATTTTTACAAGTTTTCACACTTGCTTATAAAATATTAGTTTTATTTAAAATTATAATAAACACTAAAATTAAATGAGGAAAAAGAATGCTTCATTTACATAATGAAAACAATTAAACAAAATTTCAAAATAAAAATAAAAAAGATTGGATTATTAAATAGTGATTGCGATAATATTATAACATTATAAAAAAAATATAATAAATAAATAAAATGAATTAATTTCAGTTCTATTTTTCTCATTTGCTGCTGGTATCACTTTTTACTGACTCATGGATATATGTAACTACTAACTAGAGACATGACCCTTGAGAAGGCTGAGCCTTAAAATTTAAAGTTTTTTGTTTTTCATCTCAACTATTTGAAAGTTTTGAATTTATGATTTAGTTAACAATCAAGAAGCCAAATAAGGTATTCAAAATAAATGTAACGTGCATATTAAGCCATAGGAACACACACACACACACACACACACACACACACAGCCTCAATTTTGTCTCGAAACTTGCATGTTACGCATATACTACAAAATACTAACTGGAAAGAGAACTAAAATGAGTATTCTTGTTCAAGATAATTAGATGCTTTTCATTTATTGCCTTTGACACTTGTTCTAAATCAGAATTTGTAATGAATCAGCCCAAAATCTGGCATCTTGAACGAGAGTTCAGGCTTAACAAGAAATTCAAGAAACAAATGAGTAGCACATCATAAGGTTTAAGATTTTAGACGAATACCTGTAAGGACAAATGGCTTCCTTGCACGAAACATCGAGACAAAATGATCTCATACATATATATAGTCTTTAATCTTTATCGCCATATTTAGCATCAAAGAAATATGCTCCTTATATACTCTCGGATTCCATCTTCTTTTAATAAAAACAGAGTTGGGGAATTGTCTTATCTTCCTTCTGCAAACTGTATCTCAAGCAAAGATCAAACTCTTCCCATTGATACCACTTTCAAGCTTCCTGCTCCAACACCAGTCTGGCCACCAGGTAATAACCATTATCTTCATTTTGTCTTCTCTTTCCTCTCTTGATGTTCAAACTGTTCCTTGTTCAAAAGCAGAGATATAGAATTAGAACACAGCAGATTCCTTAATCTGATACAAGCACAATTTGGAATGTAAATGACGAAGTGTCCGACACAAGCACACTTCAGCTTCATATTCCACACTCGAAGTATCTCTGTGCGAAGCACTGATACTTCAGAAGCACTTGTATGATGCTAAGTGCTTCGTTATACTTTCGGACAAAGTTAGATTCAAGCATAAATTGAAGTGCTGTGATATGTCAGATACTGTCAAAATTTATCATACTTGACCGATGCTGCTACATTTAGCCAATTCTTGTTGGTGACGAATTACTCCTTTGCATTTAGGTGATG